AGGAAGAGTAGGAGGAGAGGAGCAAGAGCAGGGGGAAAGAGGAGGACGAGGAAGAGGTGTCGTTTTCGGCCGCTTCGGGCCGCCTGGGGGCGAGGAGCGCCCGAAAGCTTTTCGAACCACGACCGCGAAACTCGACGAATAACCGAAGTGCATTCAGCCTTCAACCTCCTCGTCCGTTGTTTGGCCGTTGCCCTGGACGAAGCTAGAACCTAAGCGCGCGCGTAGTGCGCGCGTGGTTCTAGTATATATATATATATATATATATATATTTATGTGTGTACGTATGTATGCATGCGTGCATGCATGTATGCCTGTACGTATGTATGTGTGTCCATATATGTATGTATACATGTATGCATGTATGAATGTATGCATGCATGCATGCATGCACGCATGCACGCATGTATATATATACATATATGCGGGCATGTATCTATACATGTATGTATGTATGCATGCATGCATGCATGCATATTTGTATGCACGTATGTATGTACGTATGTATGTATGTATGCATGTAAACATGTATGGTTTTTATGTACGTATGTATGTATGCATATGTCTGTATGTATATGCCTGTATGCCTGTATGTATGTATGTATGCATGTATGCATACATGCCTGCGTTTATATATGTATTTATATAATCATATATACATATACGCATATATGTTTGTACCTATGTATATATGTTTGTGTGTCTAAACATACACAAACATATATATATACATATATATAGATGTATGTATATATATATATACAGATGTACACACACACGTACATACATACATACATACTTACATACATGCATACATACATACATACATACAATATGTATGTACGAGCCCGGGGGCCGGAGTTTACCGATTCGGTATTTTGCCGTTTTGGATCCGTCGGGGGGCGCTAAAACGCGTCAAAGGAGGGGAACGGGGGGCGACGAGAGGGCTCGAGAGACGTCCAAGAGGGCGCCAAGATGGCCCAACAGCGTTCCAAGATATCCCAAGATTGCACAATAGCGTTTCAATGTTGGTCCAACATGGCTTGAAGACAGCTCGAGAGGGCCTCAAGACGGCCAAGATGCCCTCAAAAGGACTCCCATGAGCCCTCAGGAGGCACATATTTTTCTAAGCTGTTTCAAGTTTTTTTTTGGGGGGGGGGGGCACCTGTGCCGCAGAAGGCTTCGGCCGTCTCTGGAAAACAGGCGGGTATCAGCCCGATCGTCACCCTTGCTGGACGCAGCTTGGGGAGAGACCCAGCCCCCGGATCCACCCTGGAAGGGTTCCATTAAACGGAGTTACCTTACGGGGGCCTCCGAACGTTCAGAGGTGAGGGGCAACTAAAGTTCCGACGCTGCTGTGGGTGTTCCATTGCTTCGTTGGGCCGGTGGGCAAGTGGGTGTGGCGCCGGCGCCCGTGTTCTGGCTGGCTACCAGAGGGCCCCAGGCAGCTGCGGCGGTTCCGGGCTACGTGAGCCGCCCGGCCTGAGGCTGTATGAACCGACTGCATGTGAATTCGTGCAGGCACTCTGGGCACCCTCCTCGGAGGTGGGCCGCGCGCTTCGTGCGCGACCAGCTCAGGTGGTCTGTGTCGGACTCGTGTTCGCATTTTTTCGTATTTCCGACGGTTCAGGACAGCCCACGAGGCCCCAGAAAATCAGCTCAAGACGGCCTAAGACGCACCCGAGGAGGGCGCCAGGACGACGCAAGAGAGTCCCAAGACGGCCCAAGAGTGCCCCAAGACGGCCCAAGAGGCGCCGAAGATCGCCCAAGACGGCCCCAAGACGGCCCCAAGACAGGCCCAAGAGGGGGAACACAAACCGACAATTCGAGTCTATGTATATATGTTTGTGTGTCTAAACATACACAAACATATATATATATACATATATATAGATGTATATATATATATATACAGATGTACACACACACGTACATACATACATACATACTTACATACATGCATACATACATACATACAATATGTATGTACGAGCCCGGGGGCCGGAGTTTACCGATTCGGTATTTTGCCGTTTTGGATCCGTCGGGGGGCGCTAAAACGCGTCAAAGGAGGGGAACGGGGGGCGACGAGAGGGCTCGAGAGACGTCCAAGAGGGCGCCAAGATGGCCCAACAGCGTTCCAAGATATCCCAAGACTGCACAATAGCGTTTCAATGTTGGTCCAACATGGCTTGAAGACAGCTCGAGAGGGCCTCAAGACGGCCAAGATGCCCTCAAAAGGACTCCCATGAGCCCTCAGGAGGCACATATTTTTCTAAGCTGTTTCAAGTTTTTTTTTTTTTTGGGGGGGGGGCACCTGTGCCGCAGAAGGCTTCGGCCGTCTCTGGAAAACAGGCGGGTATCAGCCCGATCGTCACCCTTGCTGGACGCAGCTTGGGGAGAGACCCAGCCCCCGGATCCACCCTGGAAGGGTTCCATTAAACGGAGTTACCTTACGGGGGCCTCCGAACGTTCAGAGGTGAGGGGCAGCTAAAGTTCCGACGCTGCTGTGGGTGTTCCATTGCTTCGTTGGGCCGGTGGGCAAGTGGGTGTGGCGCCGGCGCCCGTGTTCTGGCTGGCTACCAGAGGGCCCCAGGCAGCTGCGGCGGTTCCGGGCTACGTGAGCCGCCCGGCCTGAGGCTGTATGAACCGACTGCATGTGAATTCGTGCAGGCACTCTGGGCACCCTCCTCGGAGGTGGGCCGCGCGCTTCGTGCGCGACCAGCTCAGGTGGTCTGTGTCGGACTCGTGTTCGCATTTTTTCGTATTTCCGACGGTTCAGGACAGCCCACGAGGCCCCAGAAAATCAGCTCAAGACGGCCTAAGACGCACCCGAGGAGGGCGCCAGGACGACGCAAGAGAGTCCCAAGACGGCCCAAGAGTGCCCCAAGACGGCCCAAGAGGCGCCGAAGATCGCCCAAGACGGCCCCAAGACGGCCCCAAGACAGGCCCAAGAGGGGGAACACAAACCGACAATTCGAGTCTGCCGCCCCAAGAGGCCCCAAGGAGGCCCCAAGAGGGCCCCAAGAGCGCAAGAGGCCCCCTAGAGTCCCCCTAGAGGGCCCACGAGGCCCCAAAGAGGGCCCCCAAAAGGCGCCAAGAGAACCCCAAACGGCCCCCAAGAGGCCGCCAAAACTGCCTTGAAGAAGCCCCCGGGGGGCCTCCAACGAATTCCAAACGAACTTCCAGGAGGCCTCTGACCCACGGCCCAAGACGCCCAAAACGGCCTCCAGACGGCCCGAGAGGCCCCCAAGATACCCAAGCGGCTTCCAAGAGGTTTCCCAACAGAGCTCGAAGAGGCAGAAAAACATATTATTATCCGTGGGTTTTTGAATGGCGTTTCCGCCTGCAAAACGCCCCGAGAGGCTCCGAGGATCGCCTCAAGACGGCCCAAAAGGCTTCAAAAGCGCCCAAGACGGCCCAATAGGCTTCAAAGCGCCGAAGAGACGTCCAAAACGGCCGGGGAGGGCCCCAACCGCGACACAGGATCGGGAACGTGAACCGAGAACCCGAGATCTTCGCCCCAGGAGACCCCCAGGATGTTTCAAGAGGTCCCCAAGAAACCCCAAAGAGGCCCACAAAAAGCCCGAGAGAGGCTCCGAGGGCACTTACAAAAAACGTGAATTCCAACATTTATTTTTTAAGGTTCGCCTGGCAGCTTCGCTACGCTTGCACAATAAGGAAATATCATAGTTCCTCCTCCTCCTCTTCCTCCTCCTCCAGTTCCTCCTCCTCTGCGGCCTCCTCCACCTTCTCCAACTCCTCCTCATCCTCCTTCTCCTTCTCCCCCAGGGAACCCCTTCACCTCCCCTTCTCCTCCCTCTTCCTCTGGCTACGTCCAGCCGCGGCGAATAAAAGGGCCCCCGAAGTGCATTTTGGGCCTGTCTTAAGCCGTCGTGGGTGGACCGTAGGAAATCTTGGAAACCACTTGGGCCGTCTTCGTGGTTCTTGGAAGCCCGGAGAAGAAGTTTCATGGAATAGAGACCCCCAAGTGTTCGACCATCCAGCCTAGGTAGAACCCTCGCGCGCGTTTCTACAGGTATCTCTATATACATATGCCTGTCTGACTGTCTGTCTGTCTGTCTGCCTGTCTGTCTGTCTGTCTGTCTGTATGTCTGTATGTCTGAATGTATATGTATATGTATATGTATATGTATATGTATATGTATATGTATATGTATATGTATATGTATATGTATATGTATATGTATATGTATATGTATATGTATATATATATATATATGTATATGTATATTTATATGCATATGTATAGGTATATGTACATGTATATGTATAGGTATATGTATATGTATATGTGTATGTACGTACGTTTGTCTGCATGTATGTATGTATGTATGTATGTAGGTGTGTAAATGTTCATATACATATATATACACATATACACATATATATGTATGTATATATACACACATTTGTAGATCTAAGTATGCATGTACTTGTTCATGTCATACGTTATGCACATGCTTATATACGTGCATGTACAATTTCGGAGGTGTATGTGCATGTGAACGTAGATGTGCTGGTATCTGTACATGCAAATGTGTTTGCATCTGTCTTTGTACATGTACACGTGCGTGTCTGTGTACATGCACATGCGTAGTCATGTGTATATACATGTGATGAGTGCTGATTCGTTAAGCAGGTGGGAAAAACGGAGTGCGAATTCGATCGCACGAACACTGCGGGGTCGCGCACTGCTAATCTTGAAAGACACGCACATGATACTTCCTTCACCTCGTATCCCTCGTATCTTCTCCTCCTTTTCCGTCTCCCGCTCCTTTCATGCCCCCTCTCTTCCTTCCCCTTCCCTCTCGCCTTTCATGTTGTTGTTTGTTTTTTTTCTGATTATTTGTGATCATCTTATTATTTTGCTTCCCCTCTCCCCTTCTCCCCTTTCCTATCCCTCTTCCTCTCCCCTCCCCTCCCGTCCTTGCCCGTTTCGAACTCGCTCGAACTTTCCCTTGCCCGCCCTGGCGGCCAAGCAGGCCTCCGCGGGCGAGCGGGAACGCTACCTCTCGGAGATCCGCGCGTTGCGGGAGGAGAACCGCAGCCTCATGCAGCTCAGGGTCGCGCCGGCCAGGTGAAACAATCGAGGTTCGAGGATTGAGATTTTGGCACCGAGGTTCGTACGTCTTCGTGGGTTCCCAGCGGTTTTCTGACCTCGGGGTGCTTTCCAGCAGCTGCGCCTCGCCGAGAGCGTTCTGGGAGGGCCCGAGTCGTCCCGAGCGACCGCCAAGGAGTTTCAAGTTGTGACCCGACAGCCAGGCAACGAGGATCATCAAAGGTGTCGGGCCTGTTGCGTCGCAGTCGGTTGCGTTCGGCCGGCTCGGTTCGGTCGGTTGTTGTGTCGTTGCCGCTCCATTGCGTCCTTCTTCGTTGTTTCTGGCAGATTCGGCTTCGTCGTTTTCGATCTCGCTGTCCGTTCGGGCAGTTTTCGGCTGCGCTGTCGCCGTGGGGGCCCTGAACGAAGCTGCGGCAAGCTCGCGCCGCGTACGCCGGCGCGGCCGCTCAGAGGTTGGCCACCAGTGGCTTTGGGATGCTGATGACGATGATGCTGATGATATGATGATGATGATGATGATGATGATGATGATGATGACGATGATGATGATGGTGGTGGTGATGATGATGATGATTATGATGATGATCACGATGACGATGACGATGACGATGATGATGATACTGATGGTGATGATGATGCTGAGGGGGATGATGATGACGATTGTGATGATGGTGATGCTGATGATGATGATACTTATGATTATTAGTATGCTGCTGCTGCTAATGATGATGATCACGATGATGATGATGCTGATAAGGACGATGATGATGATGATGATGATGATGATGATGATGATGATGATGATGATGATGATGATGATGATGATGATGATGATGATACTGATGGTGATGATGATGCTGAGGGGGATGATGATGACGATTGTGATGATGGTGATGCTGATGATGATGATACTTATGATTATTAGTATGCTGCTGCTGCTAATGATGATGATCACGATGATGATGATGCTGATAAGGACGATGATGATGATGATGATGATGATGATGATGATGATGATGATGATGATGATGATGATGATGATGATGATGATGATGATGATGCTGATGCTGATGCTAGTGCTGATGATGCTGCTGCTGATGATGCTGATGATGTTGATGCCAGTGGTGATGGTGATGATCGGGAGGTGGATTGGGAGGAGGATGATGAGGAGGAGGAAGATGAGGATGAGGATGAGGATGATGATGAGGATGACGGTGAGGAGGTGGAGGAGGAGGAGGAGGAGCAGGAGCAGGAGCAGGAGGCAGGTCCTCCTTCCTTCCTGCTTCGTCCTGCTCTTCTGGACCAGAGACCCCACTAGTCCCGCAGGCTTCGGCTCCAGCCTCGGCTCCCCTTGCACTCTGCGGGTCCTGCAAGAGAGCAGGCAGTGGGTGGAGGAATGGGGGATGGGGGAATGGGCAGGGGAGGGGGAGGGGCAAGCTAGGTGCGCTCGCGTCATATCTGACGTCCTACCCCTCCCTCCCATCTCTTGCCATGGCGTAGTTCTCCTTTCTATTCGCGCAGTCGGATGTTGTAGCATGGCGTAGCATTACGTGGCATAGCATGGTGTTGAAAATCAACGCGTAGCATGACATAGCATGGCGTGGCGGCGCCCCCTCATGCGGCCCCAGAAATCAACGAATCGGCACCGAATGTGTAATCGCTTCCGATGTTTTTCCCAACCATCCTGTGGTGTTGGGTCCTCGTTTTGAAGAGACAGCGCCCCGCGTTCACTCCTCCTCCTCCCGCTGCCCCCTCCCTCCTCCTCTCATCCGCATCATCATCGTCATCATCAGCATCACCATCATCATCATCATCATCATCATCGTCATCATCATCATCATCATCATCATCATCAGCATCAGCATCAGCATCTTCATCATCACCATTACCATCATCATTATGCAAGGGGCTAGCCGTATCATCATCATCATCATCATCAGCATCAGCATCAGCATCATCATCATCATCATCATCATCATCACCATCATCATCTTCATTCTTCTTCATATCATTATTTTTATTAATATTTTTATTTTCTATTCCTATTCTTATTATTATTATTATTATCATTATTATTATTTTTATTTTTATTATTATTATTATTATCATCATTATTATCATCATCACCACCATCATCATCATCACCACCATCAGCATCATCGTCATCATGATCGACACTGTCACCGTTACCGTCCTCGTCATCTTCATCTTCATCATCACCAATTTCGGCGCATCATTCACACGTTTCGTGGCCCCACAGGGATCTCCACCGAAGGCCCCACTGGGGGTGCCCGCATGCGCCCCCCACACCCAGTACAGCGTTTCGTGGCCCCACAGGGAGCTCCACCGAAGGCCCCAGTGGGGGTGCCCGCATGCGTCCGCCACACCCAGTGCAGCGTTTCGTGGCCCCACAGGGAGCTACACCGAAGGCCCCAGTGGGGGTGCCCGCATGCGTCCGCCACACCCAGCACAGCGTTTCGTGGCCCCACAGGGAGCTCCACCGAAGGCCCCATTTGGGGGTGCCCGCATGCGTCCGCCACACCCAGTACAGCGTTTCGTGGCCCCATGGGGAGCTCCACTGAAGGCCCCAGTAAGGGTGCCCGCATGCGCCCGCCACACCCAGAACAGCGTTTCGTCGCCCCACAGGCAGCTCCACCGAAGGCCCCAGTGGGGGTGCCCGCATGCGTCCGCCCAGTACAGCGTTTCGTGGCCCCATAGGGAGCTCCACTGAAGGCCCCAGTGAGGGTGCCCGCATGCGCCCGCCACACCCAGCACAGCGTTTCGTGGCCCCACAGGCAAATCCACCGAAGGCCCCAGTGGGGGTGCCCGCATGCGTCCGCCACACCCAGCACAGCGTTTCGTGGCCCCACAGGGAGCTACAACGAAGGCGCCAGGTGAGGGTGCCCGCATGCGCCCGCCAACCCAGCACAGCGGTTTCGTGGCCCCCACAGAGGAGCTACACGAAAGCCCATTGTGTGGGGGTGCCCGCATTTGCGTCCGCCACACCCAGTCAGCGTTTCGTGGGCTCCCCTTTGCCCCACAGGGCAGCTACACCGGAAGGCACCAGTGTGCCCAGTACAGCGTTTCGTGGGCCCCATGGGAGCTCCCCGAAGGCACAGTGGGGGGGGGCACAGCGTCGCCACACCAGCACGAGCGTTTCTTGGCCCCATAGGGAAGAATCCACCGAGGCCCCAGGGGAGGGGGGACGCATGCGTCCGCCACACCAGCAACAGCGTTTGTGGCCCCATAGGAAAGCTCCACGAAGGCCCAGTGGGTGGGGGCGCATGCGTCCGCCACACCCAGCACAGCGATTCGTGGCCCCATAGGGAGCTCCACCGAATGCGTAGCTCACAAAGACGGTACTCACAACTGCAAATGGTTGGGTCCTTCGCCAGGCTAATTTTGTCGGGCGGCCATTTTCTAGATTTTGGGGCCTATTTGGAAGGACCAGAAACCATGCCGTGGCATGGCGCTGGAAAAATACGACAGCGCTGTTTTTTCTTGATTTTTTGCTTTTATTTATTTTTTTTCTATTTTTTTCTTACTATTTTTTTTTTCTGTTTTTTAAATTTCCTTTTTTTTTGTGTTATGTTATGCGTTTTTTTTCTTTTCTTTTGTCTTTTTCTTATTTTATTTTCCTGCATCTGCAGCGGGAGCACGATTCGGAAAGAGCGGAAGCGCGGAAATCAGGCCAGCGCTGCAGCGGGATCACGACTCGGAACGAGCGGTAGCCCGAGAATGAGGCCAGCGCTTCAGCGAGAGCAGCATTTGAAAAACATCCAAGCGCGGAAACGCGGACATGAGGACGCGTAGCCTGACATAGCATGGCGTGGCGACGCCCCCAAGTGGGGGGGGGCTTCTGCGGCCCCAGAAATCAACGAATCGGCACCGAATGTGTAATCACTTCCGATGGTTTTTTTGCGGGGCCATTTTCTAGATTTTAGGGCCTGATTTGGATGATCCGGAAACCATGCCGTGGCATGGCGCTGGAAATATATTGACGCCAGCGTTGCAGCGGGAGCACGAGCGGAAGCGCGGCAATGAGGCGAGCGCTGCAGCGAGAGCACGACTCGGAACGAGCGGTAGCCCGAAAATGAGGCCAGCGCTTCAGCGAGAGCAGCATTAAACAACCAATGATCCCAAGCGCGGAAACGCGGACATGAGGACGCGTAGCCTGACATAGCATGGCGTGGCGACGCCCCAAAGTGGGGGGGGGCTTCTGCGGCCCCAGAAATCAACGAATCGGCACCGAATGTGTAATCACTTCCGATGGTTTTTTTTGGGGGCCATTTTCTAGACTTTAGGGCCTATTTGGATGGACCGAAAACCATGCCGTGGCATGGCGCTGGAACTAATTACGCCAGCGCTGCAGCGGGAGCACGATTCGTAACGAGCGGAAGCGCAGAAGCGAGGCCTGCGTTGCAGCGGGAGCATGATTCGGAACGAGCGGTAGCCAGAAATCGAGGCCAGCGCTTCAGCGAGAGCAGCATTTTGGGAAACCACCCAAGCGAAAACCCAGCTCCCAGGAGTTCCATGTAAAAACCAGTACGCGGAGGGGGGCCGAGCATTCCCTGGATGCCACCAGGGGGGAGAGGAGAGTAGTATTCTCCGTATTGTGTAATTGTGGAGGGGGAGAAGGAGGAAAAGGAAGCGGAGGCGGAGGCGGATGCGGAGGCGGCGACGGCGGCGGCGGCTGCGGCGGCGGCGGCGGAGGAGGAGGAGGAGGAGGAGGAGGAAAAGGAGTAAAAGGAGGAAAAGGAGGAAAAGGAGGAAAACGAGAAAAAGGAGGGAAAGGAGGAAAAGGAGGAAAAGGAGGAAAGGAAGGACAAGGAGGAAAAGGAGGAAAAGGAGGAAAAGGAGGAAAAGGAGGAAAAGGAGGAGGAGGAGGAGGTGGAGAAGGATGATGATGATGATGATGATGACGATGATGATGATGAAGATGAAGATGATGCTGATGCTGATGCTGATGCTGATGCTGATGCTGATGCTGATGGTGATGATGCT